TAGATAATATAGATAGATAGATAGATAGATAGATATGTATGTATGCATGTGTATATATATATATATATATATATATATATATATATATATAATATATATACATACATATATAACACACACACATTGTGTGTGTGTGTGTAAGTGTAAGGAAATGAGCAGCCGTAGATAGGAGCACATTTCTAGAATAATGCCGAAGAGAGAGGAGAGAGAGAGAGAGAGAGAGAGAGAGAGAGAGAGAAGAGAGAGAGAGAGAGAGAGAGAGAGAGAAGAGAGAGAGAGAGAGAGAGAATTTTCCATATTGGTTTGCACAGTTCCCACTGTACTTTCAGTTACTTTTTCGGTTAAACTTTTAATGTATGAATTATATATTACATTGCTGAAGAGAAAGGTTGTAGGCAAGTGGAAGCTTCATAAATGTTGTGCAACAAGAATGCGCTCCCTTTTTTTAATACCATGAATGCATACGGCAACTTATGCGAATACATTCCTTATTCATTATTTTCCTACATTTGCAGACCTTTTAGGTTTGAAATTATTCCTCTGAGTTCGATAAATGACATTTATTTATGCAACTATACTCATGTGGTAAATGAATGCCTTCTCCTTCTATAAGATCAATGCAAGCACGGCGTGTTACCCTACACACCATGCCTATTTCTCTACTGATAAAGCTGCATTTTCTCTATAACCACGCAAGCTACAAATACAAAGAACTGCGTCATTCATTCATGTCTTGGGTAGGATTGTTTGTAAACATGAATGGGTGTCATTCGTCGTGACCGTAGGGCGTTACTATTCATGTACGAGCTCTACGAAATGTGTAAGCCGTAGTAGTATTGATGTTCGGTTTTCCTCCGCCAAAGACTTGTGCTGGAAAACAAATAGACGCCGATGAAGCCTTATAAGTAAAACGCTGAGACGAACTCGACACTATTGGAATATCATATTAGGAGGGCTGGATCGTCTATAAGTGGTTGGAGTAGGAGTCACGGCGCCGATCGTCCTTTGTTTTCAGGGAGACGCGACCATCACAGATTTGTTTTGTGGCATTTATTGACGTCAATGTGAAAATGGCGTACAATGATGAGGACTTGTGTACAAATCACGCAGATTTTGCTGTAATATGTTCATTTATCGACAAATTTGGGGAGAAGTTAGGTTTAACTCTTCCCAACATAGGCGAGCTTCAAACTTTATTAGAAGACACAGATAACGGTAAGCCGATAGACTGTTAAACAGTGTTGATATAAGCAACCTCTCTGTGCGCCTCAACTTACTTACCCCAGCGAAGGCCTCCCGAAACAGTATTTTTAAAATATGTAAGCTCAGAGACAGTGGCGTAGTGTCAGGCATTGCACAATGGCAAGAATGACTGTGAATGAGGGTTGTTACAACAGCAGGTATTCGCGAACATGATGCTAAATGGCTTGCTGGGATCAGGAAAGCATCCGCGAATGTCGTTGAATGTGACTGCATGAATGGGCGGTCACAAGTATTAGTTATAATGCATTACGCTAGCATTTCGCTATTGTACGTTACCATTTGCATATGGAGATTCCAGGGAACGACTGTTATCAAATGGTTCTTGTTTATTCGTGTGACAGGTGCTAAATCCTATTCCACTACTTTATAAAGTAAAACTGAAGGAGTTTTAGTGATGCTAGGAAAAATATTATGACTTTTGATTCTCATAAAGAGAACCTTTATGGATAAATTGGCTCTGGTATTCATTTTTTTAGAATTGGTAAGTGCAGGCTTTATTTAAGCAAGAAAAAGAGTTGATTGTACTTCAATGTATTTCAAAGTTGAATTCAAGTTCAGTTCATCCAAAAACCTCTTATAAAGACTTACTAAAATCATGATGGAGAGAAAACAGATATAAGAATATAGCAGCGTGATTAAGGGATAACTCACACTGGTTGGAAATATTAAGATAAATATTTACAGTAAATCAGTGTGAATAGAACAGTTATCACAATTTATAATTTATACAAATTTTTTTAAACATTATACATCTCACATTTGCTATTAGTTTTAGCATGACAGTGAATTATAATTATAATATATAGAGCCTATTGTCTTATCAAAAATTATGTAGGCACTGGAAACTGCCAGGAACCATTATTAATGTAAATTCAATACTATAGAGTAGCAATTTAAAAGAATACACCAATCATGATAACACAGGTAGTGTCATTATGGATTTACATTGAAATAATTATAGGTTTGTTATCCACAGGAGCATTAGTATTAATGATGAATTGAAATATTTTAGTCGGAGGAATGTATGGCAGGAGCAGTATTAGTAGTACTAGTAATCATATGTAGCAGTCATAGTAATATTAATGTATTAGGAATGAAAAGTAAAGGGTTTAATGCTTTATTATTATTATCATTATAAGATTGTTATGAGCAATACTAGTTCATAATTGTCATTATATGATAATGGTGATAATTGTTATGGGTCAGTATTAGCACTGTATTATTATTGTTGTTGATT